TTTATACTCGAAAAGAATGTGTATTCTGCTGCTTTAGGATGAAATATTCTGATTAGATCTGTTAAGTCCATCTGATCAGTGTGTCGCTCAAAGCCATGGTTTTCTTGTTGATTTTCTGCTTAGATGATCTGTCCATTGCTGTAAGTAGGCTATTAAATCCCCCTACTATTATTGTATTATTATCCAGGAGTTTATGTTTGTTATTAATTGATTTTTATATTTGGGTGTTGCAATTTGGGGGCACCAATGTTTAAAATTGTTAGATCTTCTTGATAGACTCCTTAATTGTGATATAATGCCCTTCTTTATCTCTAGTTACAGTCTTTGGTTTAAAATATAATTTGATAAGCATGGCTACTCCAGCTTTCCTTTGATGTCCATTAGTACGATACATGGTTCTCCATTCCCTCACTTTCCATCTCCAAATGTCTTTAGGTCTATAATGAGTCTCTTGTAGGCAGCATATAGATGGGTCTTGTTTTTTATCCATTCTGATACTCTATGTCTTTTGATTGGATAATTTAGTTCATTTACATTCAGAATGACTATTGAAAGGTATGAATTTAGTACCATTGTGTTGCCTGTAGAGTTGGTGTTTTTGGTAATATTCTCTTGTCCTTTCTGGCATTTGTTGTTTTTGGTCTTTTTTTTCCTCCAAGAGTCCCTTTAATATTTCTTGCAGGACAGGTTTAGTGGTTACAAACCCCTTTAGTTTTTGTTTGTCTGGGAAACTCTTTATCTTTCCTTCTATTCTGGATAGAGTATTCTGAATGAGTGCATGCCTTGCTGGGTGAAGTATTCTTGGCTGCATAGTTTTCCCATTCAGCATACTGAATATATCATACCACTCCATTCTGGCCCGTCAAGTTTCTATGAACATATTTGCTGTGAACCTGATCTGTTTTCCCTTGTAGGTTAAGAACTTTTCCCCCCTCACTCCTTTCAGGATTCTTTCCTTTTCTGTGTATTTTGTGAATTTGACTATCTTGGTGATGGCTGGCTTTTGTTGAATTTAATGGGAGTTCTCTGTGCTTCTTGGATTTCAGTGTTTGTTTCCTTCCCTAGATTAGGGAGGTTTTCAATAATAATTTGCTCACATAAACCTTCTACTCCTTTTTCTTTCTCTTTTTCTGGAGGTCCAATGATACAAATATCATTACACTTTAAGGAGTCACCAAGTCCCCTAAGTCTACATTCATGATCCAATATCTTTCCCTCTTTTTTTTTCCAGCTTCATTATTTTCCATTATTTTATCTTCTATATCAGTGATTCATTCCTCTGCTTCATCCATCTTCAATGTCATTACACCATTCAGTTTTGCATCTTGGTTATAGCATTGATTTATTTCCACCTGACTCATTTTTTTTTAGTTCTTTTAACTCTGCAGTAAGGGATTCTCCAGTATCTTCTATGCTTTTCTCAAAACAAGCTAGTACCCTTATGATTATTCTTTTAAATTCTGGTTCAGACATCTTACTTGTATATGTACTGATTAAATCCCTGGTTGTGACTTTTTCCTATTCTTTCCTTTGGGGTAAATTTTCTGTCGTGTTATTTTGTCTAGGTCACTGTTGTGTGTGGGGGTTTGGGGGGGTGTGGGTGACGGGGGGGGGAGGGGTGGAGATTCTTAGGAGAGCCTGTTGTATTTCTGCTCCTGAGAGTAATGGCTATATTAAGAAGTGGTCTGAAAAAAAACCCAAAAAACAAAAAACACGGAAGCTAGATCCTAACCTACTTTGGTCGGCTTATTAAAAGAAGCTGGATTCTATTTCCCTTAGGATTGAAGCTTTGCAGCACTCTGATCAGTAGACTTAGTGCATGCAAAGGGTTTATGCTGATCTTCTGGTGGTGGGGCCTGCTGCTCACATTCTCAGGCCAACTTGCCCTAGTGGAGATGCACCTCCAGAGTGCAGGGCAACTGGGCTTGGTGTAAACAGCTCCAGCCTCCACTGGGTGGCGCTGTTTTTCTCACTGAGTTGGTCAGTGCTGATGAGTGAGGGGGAAAATTACCTGCTACTCTTCTCACCTGCTACTCTTCAGGAACTCACACAGAAGAGCCAAATAATCACCTCTCTTGTGTCCCTGGCTTCTGCCAGATCCATGCATCCAAGTTATCTGTCTGCCAGGTAGCAGAATACTCCTGTGTTTTATCTCAGGCATGTGGCTAGGTTCCAAGACTCCAAGTTTTAGACATCTATGTGGTGCAGACCCATGCAGATCCTCTGGGGGAGGATCTCTCTGAGCTGTGGCCACTGCTGGTTTGTCCCATAAATCAGTTGTATGCCCATGCAGCAGTTTGGAGTTTCTGGCAAAGTGCAATAGAAAGCCGGCACCAAGGTTTGCTGTCCTCAGCTGGTGTTCTTTGTTTCTACACTAGGGAAGAGGGCAGCACTTTGGTGGTGCCAGCTCTTTTTTCCCTGGAAAGGCCATGCCACTGCTCCCAAATGCACTCTAAACAGGGAAACTGTTTATCCCTGCGTGATGCAGGGGATCCTCAGACTGCACTGCCCACTCACAGGTCTCTCCCCACTTTCCCCTCCAGAGCACTGCCAAGCCCAGCAGTCATGGTGGCACGGACTCCAATATTTCAGACTTTACACTCCACTGCCTATAAAAACTTGCAGTAGTCTGGCCCTCTTCCTTTCCCAGTCAATGGTTTTGGGAAGAGTTTTTGCTGAGCATTTCTCTGCACATGCTTTCACTCTTTCTCACTCACTCCTCTCTCCATGATCAGGGCTCCATCACCTTCATAGCCCCTGTAGTTCTTTTCTCTCCCCAGTCAACTCTCCACAGGCTCCTACTTTGCACAATGTGGCTATTTTTCTACCTCTAGTTGTGCAGTTTTTCTCTCTCAGTCTTCAGATCGATTTCTTGGGTGTTCAAAATGAGTTGATATTTATCTAGCTTGTTCAAGGGACAAGGCAAGCTTAGCTTTTGCCATCTTAACTTCTCCCCCCAAATGCAGTATTTTTAACTCACATATTTAAAGTCATGCAAGCTACACAACTTCCCTGTCAAAATTACTGGTTGCACATTTATGGCAGTTTCTTTAGCTGTATCTTTTGAGTTTTAAATTTTCTGTAATGTTGATGTTACAGAATATAACACCTTTGCAATCTTTGTGAAGTGGTGTTTAATTGTATGATGTGTGTATATAAACTGAATGCTTAAGCTTTTAATACAGGATTCTAGAAGGCAGTAAATTTTTTTTCTTTTTTTAAAAAATTTTTTTTTAATGTTTTATTTATTTCTAGGAGAGAGAGACAGAGACAGCATGAGCAGGGGAGGGTCAGAGAGAGAGGGAGTCACAGGTTGAAACAGGCTCCAGGCTCTGAGCCGGCAGTCAGCACAGAGTCCAACGCGGGGCTCGAACCCACGAACCGCGAGGTCATGACCCAAGCAAAAGTCGGACGCTTAACCGACTAAGCCACCCAGGCACCCCAGTAAATTTTTTTTTCTAACGAATTACCTATTTTATTTTATTTTATTTGTTTTTACAGATAGTTTATTGTCAAGTTGGTTTCCATATAACACCTGGTGCTCATCCCCACAAGTGCTCTCCTCCATGCCCATCTCCCCCCTTCCCCCCACACCCATGAGTCCTCAGTTTGTTCTCAGCATTCAAGAGTCTCTCATGGTTTGCCTCTCTCTCTTTCCCCCACCATTTCTCCCCTTCTTCTCCCCCATGGTCCTCCGTTAAGTTCCTCCCAATCCTCCTATATGTGCAAACATATGGTATTTGTCCTTTTCTGCCTAGAAGGCAGTAAATTTTAATGTTATAATGAACAGGTAAATAAATGTTGTAAGAACTGTACAAAAGTACTGAATGTATCTCAGATTTGAGGCATAAAAAAAGCTAGTCCAAAAAGTATTTTATGATTCCACTTATGTGAAATTCAACAATAAGTAAAACTAATCTGTCGTAACAGAAGTTAGAATAGTAATTACCTCCAGTGTGTTGGGATACTGACTGAAAAAGAGCAAGAAATGTTCTGTATGTGGTTAGGGGTGTTGGTTACATGCATATATACTTCTATATAATTTCATCAAGATCCACTTAAGATGAGTGCAATTTACAGTATTTGTTATGTCTTAACAAAAGTATAATTATATATGCATGTATATACGTAGACTTAATTGTAGACCTATCATATATATAATTATACTGTATGAATATATAATAAAAATATAAATTATACTAACAAATACACATCCACACACATATGCAAACTTCTTAAATGTCATATTAAATATTAAGTTTCGTATTAAATATCATTTTATGTTTGAATCTAAAGCAGTATGCCTCCACTATAATTTAGGATGTCAACCTAAGAACACACATTTTATTTAAAGAGTTCCCAACTTATTCCCCATGATAGACTATGAAAAATGGCCACAATTTGTTGCAATTCCTGCCATCAAGAGATGCAGTCTATTCTATTCCTTGAATCTGGACTCAGTTGTAATTTGTTCTGTACAGTAGTAGAATGAGATAGAAGCCATATTATACTAGTTTTGAACCTGGGCCGTTAGGAGCTCTGCATTCTTCTGCTTGCTCCTTGTGGGACCTTTGTTACTGCCACCAGGTGAACAAGCATCAACTAGTCTGCTGGAGAGTGAGACATCACATGGAGCCATCCAACCATGCCACTGTAGACTAGCTAAGCCTCAGATTCCAAGTAGCTGCCCACAGATGTGCACATTGGCCCAGCTGTGATTAGTTACGCCTGGCCCTGATCAGAAGAACCAACCAGTTAAGCCCAACCCAAATTCAGAAACCACATTAGTATGAGCTAAGTAAATGATTACGGCTGTAAGTCGCTACATTTTTACGTGGTTCCTTACATAGAAAAAGCTAATTGTTATCGATCTATCATAATTTTTCACCTGGAAGAGTACATTTTTAGAACACTGCCATCTCTGAGCCATTATTAAACTTATGACCTTGCAGTCTATGTTTACTGCGAAATATGAACATTTGTTATGTAAATACCCTTACCTTAATGGGATTCCTATAAAATGACTGCTGTCCAGAAGATGGGAACGACATGGCAATAATACGGTCTGGAAGTCAAAATAGTCATTATGATGAATGTCATTACAGATGTGAAACAATATATGAGAGCTTAATTTATATGTAATCAGACTTCTTCATAGAAAGGAACTTTCAGGATTGAGACTGACAAAGAAAAAGCTACCTCTCAGATAATCAAGATAACATATTAAATTATCCAATATGACCATTAAGCTCACATTGTGTTCCTAGGACTCAACTGCTTCCAGCCACATGTGACAAATTGACCTTTAGTGGAAATTTATTTCTTACTTAAACACCGAAGAAAAATGAGAGATCTGGGCTCCAGCAATGGTAGCACCAGTGCTTTCCAGTGCTTCTGACTCAGAAAACTGAGACCCCTGATTCTCTAAGGTTCTGGGAAGACAACAGGGCTCTCTGAAATCCTTGCAACCCAGGAAAACAACTAGGACTCAAATTCCAAACCAAACAAAGGGAACCAGCTGGAAATCTGTTCAACTTCCTGTAACCAGGCAGCCCTGATTTAAGAGGACAAAGCAGATTCTCCACTGTCAAAGGTAAACTACAAATATGTTGCATTACCACAGTGGCTCATGTCTTCATGGCTAAAGAATGCTTTGAAATAACATGGCTCCTCAAAATAAATAAATAAACTTTAAAAAGTGGGAGACACCTGGGTGGCTCAGTCAGTTAAGCATCTGACTCTTGATTTCGGCTTAGGTAATGATCTCACGGTGAGATTGAGCCCAGCATCAGGCTCTGTGCTGGAAGCATGGTGCCTGCTTGGGGTTCTCTCCCTCCCTCTCTCTCTGTCCCTCCCCCCACTCACACAAGAACACACTCTCTCAAAATGAAGAAATAAACTTGGAAAGAACATGGCTCAGACAAAACAAGAACAAAATTAACATAATTACACACAAGAAAGATTTGAAGTTAATATAAATAAACAGTTAAACTTTACAAACCAGTAACATAAGTGAGGTCTAAGTCAAATCCACCCTTCCTGTATCGCCGTTTGTTTTCTGAAACCTAAAAGTTTAAAACAATCATTAGCTTGTAAAACAAAAATCAATGTAAAATAAAGAATATTATGTAGATGTTTATAACCTTTGCCAGTATCTCCTGAAACAAACGTTTTCTGAATCATAAACATGTTTTGGCCACTTACCAGCCTTCTGGTCAGCATTTCCAGATGTTTCTTTTGATGAGCCAGATGGAAAACTCTTATCAGAATAATAAGTCGTAGAGACTGAAATACAATTGCCAATCTAACAGTAAAAAGATCAAGTTTTGGTTTAGAAACAGGATTTTGTCAACATGGACCAAATCCAGAGGACTTGTTCTTAACCAGGGTGGTTTTCTACATATACAACCCCCCACCAAGTCTCCTGCCCACCCACCTAGGGATTACTTGGTAATGTCTAGGGATATTTTTGGTTGTCATACTACGTGAGAAGGCACACTACTTGTATCTAGTGGGTAGAAGCCAGGAATGTTGCTAAACATCAATGCACAGGAAAGCCCCTATAATAAAGGACTATCTGGTCCAAACTCTCAGTAGTGCTGAGGTTGAGAAACTCTGGTAGAGAGAAATAGTTATAAGACAGAGTTAGAATTTGTGCATTGAACTTTAGTGGTTTAAGATAAGCATTTTTCAATCATTTTCCCTTCAAAAGAAACTGAATGTTCCCATTCACCTTTGTTATTCCCATCCGGAACAGAGGCTCACTAGAGTTGCTAACATATATCAGGCAGGCAGCAGACTAAAAGATACTTCCCAAGTATACTAGCTGATGCCCCTCCAACCGTCAGGGAAAAAAACATGCAGAGAACTGCTGAGTTGATTATGTGCTTCTCTAACTTGAGTGTGTACATGATTCAGGAGGCCTGGAGTGGGGCCTGCTATCTTTTTCCTCTTGCATTTCTAGCAAGTTCTTAGGTGACACTGAGGTTGCCAGAGGGCCATACTGGGTCCAGTTATTTTAAAAACAACTCCAAAAGCTATCATATGATATCAAACTTTGTTGGGACCTGAATTGAAGACCTGGGTTACTGGAGTGCAGAAATAATGAGTGAGCCATCCAACGTCTACCTGCCAATACACATCTGCTCCTTCTCCTCATTGCCACAGTACCAAGAGGAAGAAAGGAGGGAAAGCCATCATTCATTTATACATATTTTAGTGTCCTGATACCTAAGCAGTTCTAACTTTGCTTCAGCTTTCGTCATTTCAACTATACTGTAAGATTCCACCCCCATGGCGCTACCTATATCACCTTGTTTTCTATTCCATTTGCTCTTTTTTAGGAGAATCATGAGAATCACTCAAATTTTGCATTTGCTCAAACCAATACTTTCTGGAGTACAGGAAAAACCCAGGAATTTCATGTGTAAGAAACTTGTGATTGAAACTCAGTGGGAATTGCAAAACATAGAAAAGTTAAAGTTAGTATAAGAGGCAAAGTCCCCAGTTTGTTCTTTAGGTGTTTCATGTTCTGCATTCAGCTAAAGGTACTTAATGTGTACACCCTTCACACTTCCCTAAATACAACCACGCTTTGGTGTCCAAGTATGTGGACATTTATCTAAATATTTCACTTTTGGCAGCTTAATTGATTCATATTCAACACATTCAGACTTAGAAGGATTATACAAATGGAAAGTCACCCCTCCAAAAAAAAAAAAAACAAAAGGAAAAAAATTAAAACTTTAAGAGAAATGATCATATGTTTCTTACCTGGGGATATCTTTAAGAAACTTAACGTTATAAAACATATAAATTATATCAATCAGTAGAGTCACTACAATAACGACAGCATCTAAGCAGTTAAGTATATCAGAAAAATACGGTCGTATCCTGTAGTATAAGACAAAAAACATTAGTTTATGCTTCTTCAAAGAGGAGATAGGGATATTTTAAGAGTACAAATTATTTGACCCATCCCATCAAGAATTTTACATTAGTGGATTCTTTAAAATGCATTTACTGGACTAGACTAAGAGGAAAACATCCAAATTCTATCCTATTTTATACATAAAAGTGACAAAAGCATCAATATGGCAATTTAAGTATGGTAAGAGACATAACCAAACCACTGAACAAGAGGCAAGAATTGCTTTCACATATTGGGCAAGAAAAGTGGGATATTTGGCAGTACTACTGAGCAATAGAAGCCAAATTTGTCACAGCCTTTGAGCCACTCGGCTGTGATGAGTGTAAAAGAAAGGTTTGTGAGAGGGAGATGGCTCCACTAATTTGACCTGCAAACTCATCATCTGGCTTTACATCCACAGTGGAATCCCAACGGGCTGGTGGCCTCCACTATGCAAAGCCGAACTTCCGTCCACTTTGCCTTCCTCCACTGGCTCCTTCAGCCAAGGGCACGATGCTCCAGAGAAACTTTCTTTCAATTCTGAGAGGTAACCCCTCTCAGTCTCTGAGTAACCTGGAGCTAAAGGCCCTCCTAAAGTTTGATTATAGCAGTTCAACAGGAGAGGAGACAAGCAGCCTTCTAAAATGCTCTGGATGAAATGATGCTGGGGAATTAGTTCCTGACTCCTACAGTTGACGTGATCCAGGGCGTGGCTCACTTAATCCACCTTTTCATAAAACCAGCAAGTAGAGAACATCAGCTGCTGCCTCACCACCAAGCCTCGTTGATGGGATGAACATGCTACAGATGTCTTGTGTAACTTTTTTTGGGGGGGGGATTTTTATAACTTATCTTTTTATTTATTTAGATTCAAGTTAGTTAACCTATAGTATAGTATTGGTTTCTAGAGTAGAATCCAGTGACTCATCACTTACATATACCCAGTGCTCATCCCAACAAGTGCCCTCCTTAATGCCCATCACCCATGTAGCCCATCTCCCCACCCACCTCCCCTCCATCAACCCTCAGTTTGTTCTCTATATTTAAGAGTCTCTCATGGTTCGCACTCCCTCTGGTTTTATCTTATTTTTCCTTCCCTTCCCATGTTCATCTGGTTTGTTTCTTAAACTTTACATATGAGTGAAATCAAATATTTGTCTTTCTGACTGACTCCTTTTACTTAGCATGATTCAGCCTAGTTCCGTTCACATTTTTGCAAATGGCAAGATTTCATTCTTTGTGATGACTGATTAATATTATTTATATATAGCTATACCACATCTTTATCCATTTATCAGTCAATAGACTTTGGGCTCTTTCCATACTTTGGTTATTATTGATAGCACGGCTATCAACACTGAGCTGCATGTGTCCCTTTGAATCAGCATCTTTGTATCTTTTGGGTAAATACCTAGAAGTGCAGTTGCTGAGTCATGGGGTGGTTCTATTTTTAACTTTTTGAGGAAACTCCACACTGTTTTCCAGTTTGCCTTTCCACCAACAGTGCAAAAGTGTTCCTCCTTCTACATCCTCGCCAACATCTGTTGTTTCCTGGGTTGTTACTTTTAGTCATTCTGATGGGTGTGAGGTGGTATCTTGTTGTGGTTTTGATTTGTATTTCTCTGATGATGAGTGATGTTGAGCATCTTTTCATGTGTCTGTTAGCCATCTGGATGCCTTTTTTTGAAAATTGTCTATTCACATCCTCTGCCCATTTCATCACTGGATTATTTGGTTTTTGGGCGTTGAGTTTGATTCTCACATATCTTAACATAAATTTTTATTTTAACTGAGGTAGGGGCTATTCAGACCTATTATTTAGTATTTAATACGCTGTCAGCTTTTATTTAGATTCAACTCTTGGGGAGAGGATTTATATTTATACTTCACACACATGTTCCTTTTAATAATGTGCATGTAGACACATTAGCTGCCTGGCCCTACTTTGCAAACCCTTTAAGCTTTACCTGTTGAAGAAACCATCCATAATAAGTCACTGGAAACTAGAGTACCCGTTGTAACAATAATATTAAAGCCCACTCTAGTAGAAATTGGGATTTGGACTGGTTTTTTATGAACCATGCCTCCAAGGAGAAATATTTTAATAAAGAGGAATACATTCACATTTGGTTGGGTTGACTTGGTAATTATTTTGGGATGCTTCTCATGGCAGTACAAAATAGCTTTATAATAGTTTTAAAAAATTAATCAAACTTACCCTTCTACATACACTCGAAGAAGAACATCCACGAAAAAAAATAAAGCAATAGCTAAAGAAATGAAATGATATTCCAAGGGAATATACATCGTGTCTTTAGTGAAAAGTAGGTCTGTAATGATGAGGGACAGATCCACAAAGATCAGCAAAATTCCAAATATTCTACAACAGATAAACAGACTAAAGATAAAGTGGTTTTCACTTCTAAAGTTAGACTATATTTAGGCCAATGATCTGATAACAAAATGTCATTTAGGATTAAATTATTTACCAGTATGGAATACTGTATTGCCTTATAATCCCAAAAAAATTACTAAGTTTTCACCCAGTGGAAGCAGTTGTTAGAGAATTAAAATTTCCACCACACCATTTCATGTTATCATGCCCTTTTATGAAAGACACATCAGACTAACACTCCAAGATAGCACAGGCAACCTGAATTAGAATTACAGGCCTCCACTTGTGAACTCTTCTTAAAATCTGAGACTTTTTAAAGGGGCTTCTACCAATTTCTCATAATAAATAAAACCACTGATTAACTTTTACAAATTTAGCAATAAAAACCAAGTGAAAGCATGACTAACACAACCCTTAAAAGACTGCTTTGACCACTAAGATGTTTTATCAGTGAGATTTTCAATAAGTATATGATTATATATTAATAGATGCTTCTATCACAGTGCTAGGCACATGAGAAGGAATCATAATATATACATGATTAAACTCTAAAGTACTTCCTAAGCCTTCCTCTCATGTATTCTAAACACATTCTTCATAAACTGATTCTATTACTTGTATAATATATGAAGATAGATTCATTAGTCTTCAAAATACTTTTTTATAATTACAATGCAAATTAAAACATTATAAATGTAAAATGAAGCAAGTATATTGTATGACTCTGTATCATAGCATGAAATAAATCTTACTATCATGTAGAGAAGAAGCCTAAATAAAATGCTTCCAGTATTAAGAAGTACTTCTAGACAAATAAAGTGTTTAATAAAAACACTTAAAGAATTTTTGAAAGCATGCTTCATTATTTTCACTTTTACAGGTAGAAAAAAACATACTAATATGTTACTATTAGGCTTAGGTAAATACTATTTCTTTGAAATTCTTAATGTTCAGCTTAGGCTAAAATTTCATGACAAATCATTTCACATAAAATGGGACACAGGGGCTATTTAGCAACACACTGACATTGAAAATGTGTTTCCCCCCTCCCAGGTCCTTTAATCATTAAAAATATTAAGTATTATGCATATTTAATTATCTTCCTTTCAAGGGTCTCACATACCTGAATGTGAGTGATGATACAAGTGAGTACACAATTCTCTTAATCACACTGCAGCAAAAAGAATTAAATTAAATTAAATTTTAATTCAAATTTATCACATTTCTTCTAATATGGAATATGAACTTAGCCAATAAAAAAAGGATTCTATAAGCATAGTTTTAAAAGAAAGTTCTGCAGTAGTTGCATAACAAAATGCTGTTTACTAGGATTTTCATTATTCTGCTTCATGATTTAAAAAAAATTTTCATATGCGGAATAAATTCAAATAAAACTCTAAACTCTGTTTACTAATATTTCCCTTGCTTGCAAAGCCCCAATCCCAATTTTATGGTAATATTAAGTTGGGGTCATCAACTAAAGCAAGATAACGTAGAGACAGAAAGGTGTGGTAGAAGAGACAGGTGGTCCAGCCCTCCCATAAATGAGCTGTGGGATCCTGTGCAAGTCATCAAACCTTGTCCAGATCTGTTTCCATAGCAGTAAAATAAAGGACTTCAGGGATAGGCAGAGAGTAAATGATACTCTTGCCTTATAATGTTCATCTCTTGAAAAAAGATACCTCACTAACACAACAGTTAATCATTAATCTATCATGTAGCGAGGGAACAGAAGAATATGTCATAAATGAAAGGACAGGACAAAACTACAACAAAAGAGCTAAGATGAGACAGAGATAAGCAATATGCCTGATAAAAAAAACTCAAAGTATTGGTCACAAAGATACTTACTGGAAAAAAAAAAAAAAAAGACTGGAAAACCTCAGGGAGAACTACAAAAAAAGAGATATAAAATATAAAAAAAAGAATGAATCAGAAGTGAAGAACTCCATAGCCAAAAATACACACCACAGACACAGACACACACACACACACACACACACACACACACCAGAGGGAATAAAGAAGATAGGCAGAAGATTTCATTCTTTCTCATTGCCATGTAGTATTCCATGGTATAGATAAACCACATCTTCTTGATCCATTCATCTGTTGATGGACACTTAGGCTCTTTCCATGTTTTAGCTATTGTGGAGAGTGCTGCTATGAACATTGGGTACATGTGCTCCTATGCCTCAGAATGAAACCTGGCCATGTGTAGCAACATGGATGGACCTTGAGGGTGTTATGCTGAGCGAAATAAGTCAGGCATATGTTTGCACGTATAGGAGGATTAGGAGGAACTTGACAGAGGAACCAGGGGGAGAAGAAGGGGGGAAATGGTGGGGGAGAGGGAGAGAGGCAAACCATGAGAGACTCTTGAATGCTGACAAAAACTGAGAACTGATGGATGTAGGGGGAGGGGGGATGGGCATGGAGGAGGGCACTTTGGGGATGAGCACTGAGTGTTATGTGGAAACTAATTTGACAATAAACTATTTGTTAAAAAAAAAAAAAAAAGATAGGCAGAAGAATGGATTTGCACTGGAAGCTAGAGTAACAGAAAGCAACTAAGCTTGACAACAACAACACAAAAGAATAAAAAATGTGAATAGGTTAAGGGAATTGAGCAAACTCATCAAGCATAGTAACATTCACTTTATAGGGATCCTAAAAGGAGAAGAAAAGGACAAGGGGACAAAATTTATTTGAGGAAATCATAGTTGAAAACTATGGGGACAGAACGAGGCATCCAGATCCAGGAGGCATGGAGAGCTCCCAAAAAAATTAACACAAAGAGTTCCACGTCATGACACATAACAATTAAAATGGCAAAAGGTAGTGATAAAGGTTTTTTAAAGCAGCAAAAAAATAAATAAATAAATAAAGCAGTTACATAAAAAGGACATCCCATAAGGCTATTAGCTGGTTTTTCAGCAGCTTTGCAGGGCAGAAGGGAGTGGTATAATATATTCAAAGTGCTAAAAGGAAAAAACCTCTAGTCAAGAATACTCAACCCAGAATGGTTGTCATTCAAAATAGGGAGAGCAAGAATTTCCCAGTCACAAGTGAAAGGAGTTCATTACTACTAAGCCAGTCTTACAAGAAACATTAAAGAAAATTCTTTCAGTGGAGAGAAAAGGTCACTATCAAGAGTAAGAAAATTAAGAAAGGAAAAGTTTCATAGGTGAATACAAACATAGTAAGTAGATTACTTATGAAGCCAATATAGAGGTTAAATAAAAAGACAGAGTGACTGAATGGATAAAAATAAGACTTCTCTATATGCTGCCTACAAAAGACTCATTTCAGATCTAAAGACATGCAAATTGAAAGTGAGGGGATGGAAAAACATTTACCATGCAAATGGAAGCAAAAGGCTGGGATAGCAATACTTATATATATAAAAAAAATAGTCTTTAAACAAAGACTGTAACAAGGGACAAAGAGACATAATGATAAAGGGAACAAACTAACAAGAAAACAACTGTATGCACCCAAATATAATAAATTAGGACTCAACTTGGGAGAAGGTAAATCCATAAAGCAACTATTCACATATATAAAGCAACAAATTGAGACTAATAGCATAATAGTAGGGGACTTTTACATCAATAGACAGATTATCTAAACAGAAAATTAACAAGGAAACTGAGGTTTTTGAATGACTCATAAGACAGCAGAATACACATTCTTTTTGAGTGCACACGGGACATTCTCCAGGATAGATCACATGTCAGGCCACAAATCAAGTCTCAACAAATTCAAAAGTATTGAAATCATATCATCCATCTTTTCCAACCACAATGGTATGAAATCAGAAATAAATTTTGGATGCAGCAAAAGCTGTTCTAAGAGGAAAAATTATAACAACACAGGCCTGCCTCAATTACCACAAAATATCTCAAATGAACAATGTAACATTACACCTAAAGGAACTGGAAAAAGAACAAAGCCCAAAGCCAGTAGAAGGAAAGAAATAATAAAGATTAGAGCAGAAATAAGTGAAATGGAGACTAAAACAAAAACAAATACAGTAGAATAGATAAATGAAAGCAGGAGCTGGTTCTTTGAAAAGATCAACAAAACTGGTAAACCTTTAGCCAGACTGGGAGAGAGAGAGGGAGAAAGCATGAGCAAGAGAGCACACACAAGGGCAAGGGCAAGCAAATAAATAAATTCAGAAATGAAGGAGGGGAGATAATGACCAACACCACAAAAATATATTTATTATAAGATAATATCATAAAAAATTATATGCAAAAAATTGGACAGCCTACAAGAACTGGATAATTCCTAGAAACATAGAACATCCCAAAACTGAATCAGAAAGACATAAAATTTGAACAGACCAACTACTAGCATGAAATTGATTCAGTAATCGAAAATACTCCTGATAGGGGCGCCTGGGTGGCTTAGTCGGTTAAGCGTCAGACTTTCACTTAGGTCATAATCTCGCGGTTCGTGGGTTCGAGCCCCGCGTCGGGCTCTGTGCTGACTGCCAGCTCAGAGCCTGGAGCCTGTTTCAGTCTGTGACTCCCTCTCTCTCTGACCCTCCCCTGCTCACGCTGTCTCTCTCTCTCTCTCCTAGAAATAAATAAAACATTTAAAAAAAAGAAAAGAAAAAGAAAAAGAAAATAAAAAACAAGAAAAATCAAGTCTCAACAAATTCAAAAGTATTGAAAAAAAAAAACAAAAGCCCAGGACCAGATGGATTCACAGGGGAATTCTATTAAACATTTAAAGAAGAGTTAATACCTATTCTTCTCAAATTATTCCAAACAATAGAAGAGGAAGGAAAGCTTCCAAATTCATTCTATAAGGCCAGCATTATCCTGATACCAAAACCTGATAAAGACACTACAAAAAAAAAAAAAAAAAAAGAATTAGGGGACAATATCTTGATGAACACAGATGCAAAAATCCTCAACATAATGGTAAAAAATCAAGTCCAACAATGCATTAAAATCAAGTGGGATTTTTTCACCATAATCAAGTGGGATTTATCTGAGGAATGCAAAAGTGGGACAATATTCACAAATCAATGTGATAGAACATATCAACCAGAGAAAGGATCAAACATATATGGTATTTCAATCAATGCAAAAAGGCACCTGAATAAATACAACATACATTCATGATTAAAAAAAAAAAAAAAACCTCTCAATAAAGTAGGTTTAGAGGGCACACACCTCAATAAAATAGAGGCCATAAATGACAAACCCACAATAATGTCATAATCAGTGGTGAAAACTGAGAGCTTTTCCTCTATGATCAGGAATAAGACAAGGATGTTCATTCTCACCATTTTTATTCAACATAGTACTGAAAGTCCTAGCCACAGCAATCAGACAAGAAAAAGAAATAAAAGGCATTTAATTGGTAAAGAAAAAGTTAAAGAGTCTTTATTTACAGGTGACCTAAAACTGTATATGGAAAACCCTAAAGACTCCACCAAAACTACTCTAACTGATAAAGTCAGTAAAGTCCCACAATACCAAATTAATGTACAGAAATCTGTTGCACTTTTATCACTAATAAAGAAGTAGCAGAAAGAAAAATTAGGAAAACAGACCCATTTGTAACTGCACCGAAAAGAGTAAAATACCTAGGAATGAATTTATCGGAGGAGATGGAAGACCTGTGCTCTGAATACAATAAAGCACTGATGTAAAAAGTTGAAGATGACACAAACAAATGGAAGCTATTATAACATCTTATGTTAATTATACTGGAATTAAAAACAAAAAACAAAAAACGTGTTCCTGCAGCAGTTATTAGTAAAATACATGCATATCTATGTCCCACCACCTCAAAGCAGTTGCAAACTTTGCTATGTTTCTTAGGGTATTTGTATCCATTTATCCCTCACTTGGCTCAAGTGCTTCAGCCCCTTCAGAGATTGGTAAAAACAGAATCCCCATGGGACTGGTACTCAAAGGAAAGAGAAGCATGTAAGCCAAGATTAATTGGCCAAGGCTGTTAAACAAATCCAGGTCTTAGGTATTTGTGTATAGGGACAACCATTTGAATGGAGATAGCCAGTTACCCAGAAGCGGTTTAGATGGAACTTGTAGCAATGACAAGGGCACAAATGCCTACTGTTAGGTTTCTGGTCAGAGTTCTGGAAAGGAGCTGAAATGCGGTATTGCATTTTAGAACAACTATGTG